AATGCCGCCCTTAGAGGCAGGGGAATGGACCGGATGGCCTTGGGAGAGCTCTCCACTCGCAAGACTGTCTGGGAAGATGTTCCCACGAGGACCACCGTTGGAGGGGATCACAGACATTCTCCCACGAGGCAGTCAGGCCAATTGGGGAAAACGGGTCCACCCGCTGATGCACTCGTGTTGCCAACATCCTCGGCAAACCCACTCCATGCCAGCCCCTAGCTGGGCCTAGGAGAACAGACGGCTCCGGCAAGGCTCCAGGGTACCAGGCACCACCGCGCAAATGGGAAGGAGGGTCCGTAACTAGCAAGAGAGGAGCCCTTCCCTTCACACAGGGGTGGCCGGCCCGTCGGAGGGGCTGCAGACGGGTTCTCAGAGGAGCTCAGGTGGCACCCAGGATGAAGCCCCTCTGCCTCCCCTCCCCCTGCTGCCTGGCTTAGAAGAAGCAGGGGGAAGGCCGAAGTCTCCTTTCTGCCCCCCACCCCCCACCCCCCAGTTCTGGCCCTGGCTGGCCGCAGAAAGGAAATCATTAAGGAGGAGTGTCAATTCACCAACTAATTGGATCAGCACGAGCGGCTGCAGCACACGCCGTTCCCTCCCCGGCTCCTCCACCGCCCTGGTGGCCCGGCTGGCAGGCCCGACCCCGCCTGGCTGCGGCTGCTGCGAGGCCTGTCACAGCAGCCTAATCACCCTGTGGCCGGCGGCAGCGGCGTTAACAACTGTCTGCCCACCAGGCTCCTTCCTGGGGCTTGGCGGACGGGCTGACCCCTTGCAGCTCTCCTCTCGGAGGAGCGGGAGCGGGAAACTGGATCCCAGCAACAACCCGGTGGCTGCCGTCCAGGGTAACGCCTGGCTCCTCGCGCTGCCTGCTGGCCGCCTGCGTGTTTGCCCGGCTCCTCCAGCCATGTGGCCACTGAGGGTCTGCAAGGACTGCCCGGGGACTGAGCATCCCCTGAGCACGGAGGCCACTGTTCCTTCCCTGCTGCCAGTGCTGCTCATGGGCTGAGCAGGGGAAGCGGTGCTCCTTGCCAGCCAGAGCAAATTCGGTGCCTGGACGTTGAGGTCTGCTTGGCATTTCCTGTGTTGGCTTTGGCCGATGAGGCCAGGCCAGTGGGCCGCCCTCTTGACCCCAGCCCAGTCCAACAGGCACGTCCCAGACTCTGCGGCCCACAGACTTCTGTGCTCCACAGGGAATCCTGTTCCGGAAAAAAGAGATCACCCCTCCCAGCCTGGGTTCCCACTGAGCTGCCTTCCCTTGCCTTGTAGGGTGCTCTGACACCAGAGGCCTGGCCAGCCCCCAACCTGGCTCATCTCGATGCATGTTCCTCCGGCTTGGGCATGGAGCCCATAGAATTTGTAGATCTCTGAGCCTCCCAGTGCTTCCTGGACATGGCGAGCCCACTCTGCATGCAGGCCCCCAAGGCTGAGGTTCCATAGGGGTTGCTGATCTCCCCTGATCTCCTCTTCCCATCTGTCTATGGAAAAATTTCCCCAGCCCAAGGCCTGTCCTTTGCCTGGACCCCTGAGAGCCTTGAGCAAGGAGGTTGCTCTGGACATCGGCACCCTGGGTTCAGCTTGGGAACCCATGGGAGGTCCCGTGCTCAACCCCAGAAGCGTGGGCTTCACCTGCAGGCTTCAGCATTGCTGGCTCCTGTTCCTCGGTCCATGTTTTCTTTGGCTTGGGTCTCTAGGACACCAGATTGTCCAAAACAAGACGACTTCGTGATCCTTATTTTCCCAAAGAGCAGATTCTCTAACACAATCAGGCTCTTTGTGTGCAGTGCAGTCCCTGGCCACCCCCTCCCTGGTCACCCCCGTCCCTGCCCCAGCCAGGTCCCCTTGGGGCATGAAGCACTCCTCATTCCCAGTGGCCAGGGGTCTCTGGCCTAGAATTTGGCAAGGCCCAGCAGAAAGAGCAGAGCCAAACCCCGCCCCACAGACCATCCATCACTGATCTACAGCTCTTTCCTCTCTCCTCCCCAGCCTTGGGGTGCCAGCAGAGCCCCTAGGAGGAGAAGCAGAAAACCAAATAACCCTGAGTTAGAGAGGCCTGAGTACAAATCCCAGCTCTACTACACACAGATGTGTACCTTGACCAAGGCACCAAATGGCTGGGGACCTCAGCTGCCTTGTCAGTAAAATGGTGACAGTAGAGGAACCTACAGCATAGGCTTTGTGAGAGGAACCTAGCCTCACTAGAGCCTTTGGGCCTAACGTATAGTAAGCCCTCCATAAATGGCTCCCATTTATATAGCTGTCTATCTGTATGGAGTTGGCCGAGCAGTCACTAGAGTCCACAGATTTGTCCTGGGCCAAGCCTAGGCCACACCTAGGAGAGAGACTCTGCACCCCTTACCCTGCTAGCTGCTTCTTTGCTCCCAGGCTGGTTCTGCACTGCCATCTCCCCGAGGACGCTGAAGGCCCAGAATGGCTCTCCTCTGGGCCACTCTGCTCCATGGCCATCAAGGACTTGCCACCTCAACTGGACAGGCCGACCTGCCAGGGCAGTCTTAGGAGGCACCGGAAGCTGGCTGGGTACCCAGACTTGTGGAAGTCTTCACCTTTCTCCAGGAAAAGAGAAGGCTGCACACAGGCATCTGGCTCCTCAGTGCCAGGTACGTGAGTGCTCAGAAAACTGCCAGATGTGTGGTGAAGGAAGGAAAAGGCTCTGGATTTCCCGCATTGTTTGTGGGAAAAGCAATACGCATAATTTTTCTGGCAAGTGTGGGGTGATAGTTATCAAGAAGACTGAGGAATGCTTATTACCTTGATGAGCAATTCCATTTCCGGTACTCGCCCTTGAGAACTAATCTGAAATGCCAGAAGGCAGACAGGGCTGCAAGGAGGGCCCATAAAAATGTCTGCAGAGATGTTCTCGGTTTTGTTTATAAGAACAAGCAAACAATAAAACAAACAAAGACGATACGTCAGCAGCCAATGGCAGAAGACTGGTTAAGTCTATTACGCTATATCCATGCACATAAGGAATTAAAGAGTAAGCACTACAGATTATGTTTAGGGAAAATTTTTAATGACGTAGTAACATCTGAGTAAAAAAAGTCAGGATATCTAACTGCTGACAAAGTATAATCTTAATTATGTGAAAAAATGTTATGAGTACATAAACAAAATATGATATATATATTCACACACATATACACATGTATCTATACACACACAAAATGGCATATTAATCTCCGTTAAAAAGGAATGGATTCTGATTCTGACACACGCCACCACATGGGCAAATCCTGAAGACATTATGCTAAGTGAAATATATCAGACAGCAAAGTACAACGATTGTATGGTTTCACTTACCTGTGGTACCTAGAAAAGTCAAAGTCATAGAGACAGGAGGTAGAAGGGTGCTTGCTGGCTGGTGCCCGGGAAGAATGGACAGTTATTTTTTTAATGGGCACAACGTTTCGGTTTGGGAAGATAAAAAGTTCTGGAGATAGCGATGGTTGCACAAGAATGTGAATGTACTTGACGCTAGTGAACTGTACACTTAAAAATGATTAACATGGTAAATTTTGTTATGTACCTTTTATCACAATAAAAGAAGAGGTCATAGGGAAATACATCAAATGTTCTTAATGGGTATTTTTAAGGGATTATGCGTGACCTTTATTCTTTTTAGTTTCCAACATTTGCCCCTAGTAAATGAGATATTTTGTTTTGTTTGTTGTTTGTTTTAAGGAAGCTTGCTTCAGCATCTCCCAGATGTGCGGGGGTGGGGTGGGGGAGAGGTTCAGCCCAGCTGCAGCTGGAAACGAGGGGAGAAGCCCAGCCTGCTGGGGAGGGCTGGCTCAGAGAAGCCTTGGGGTCTCCCCAAGCTCTCGTTCCCCTCCTGGCTGGCCTCTCTCCCCCCCCCCCCCCCCCCGCCCAGCCCCATGCTCCAGCCATGCTTAGGGGCCTCCCTGCAGACACAGCAGTCACTAGCCTGAAGGGGCTGTCCCGGCTCTAGTGGGAATGCGGGCTCGGGGCTTTCTCAGACAGTCAGTACCCATGCCGCCTTCCCACTGCCGCTCCGCCCCAGCCCAGCTGCAAAAACAACAGCCCATACCCCAAGCCCTGTTATTGCAGCCCAGAGTGGAGCCTCAGTGTGCAGCGGAAGGAGTGGGAATGGGGCCGGTCAGTCCTAAACAGACCTAGGGGCAGGGGTACTCTCAGGAGGTTGGAGGGTCCCTTCCTGCTCCCTGGGGAAACCTGGCTCCCAGGTGTGCGGGGAAGGGGCTTGGGAAGGCCTGGGGACTGGGGTACTGAAAGCCAACTTTGACAGTGGCCTCCCCGGCTCCCTGGAGACTGCAGGGTGGGGGGAAGTATAGGGGAGGAAGTCAAGCCACTTGGGAACCCGCTGAACCAAGCTGAGCCAAGCCGTGGGCAGGAGGCGGCACCACCGTGGCTCCCAGGCAGGCCCGGGCCAAGGCTTTCCCACGGGGTGCAACTGGCCACTGGGCTCTACGGAGCCATCCACTCCAGGCTAGGGCCTGTAAACCCTGGGAGTTTTCCATGCAGTCTTCCCTTCAGGGCACAAGGGCCAGCAGGCAGATCCAGAACCCAGCAGAGCTCTTCCTTGTCCAGCCCCCGGCACCTGCAGGTGTGTGCTGGGCCTTGCAGGAGGCTGGGGTACAGCTCTCAGAGGACTGCTACTCGGCTTTCTCAACACCCTTTCTCAGCCTCATCCACTGGCTCCTTACCCATGTAGCAGAGCAGGGTCACAGAGCTTACAGCCCTAAGAACCCAAAGGCCTCAGAAACTGTTGGAAGTCTGGTCCCTGTTTGACCCCCAAAGGCCACTCTTGCCACTCTAACAGGAAGGGTGTGGATGGCGTGGCATTAGGAGGCACTGGGAGGTCTCTGGAGACAGACAAACCTGGGCTAGAACCTAGGCTCTGCCCCACTAGCGGTATGACTGGGCATGTCCCTGAACCCCTCTAAGCCTTGGCTTCTTCTACTGTTGAGTCTCAGAAGGTTCAGAGGTGGTATATGTAGTCTGTGGCGCATGTGAGTGCTTAGTAAGGGGAAGACACTGTAATTCTTAACACACAAGCCCCAAGGCATGAAATTAGCTGAGACTGGAAAGAACTTTCTGATCTCAATGGTCAACTTAGTTCTTCCGACCCATGGCATTCGGCACACTTGTGAAGTTCCCCCACCTCTTCTTTTTCCACTTTGGTTAGGAACCAGTTAATCAAACTATGCTCCGAGGCTAGACAATGACTGTTTTTAAAGATGTTGCGGGTCACAGACATCAAACCAGGGCCAGAAGTCATTTCAGGGAAGGAGGGGAGCCAGATGGGAGAGGGTAAGCCTCCGGCCTCTAGAAGCCACCAGCAGCCTCTGTCCGCAGGTTAGTCAGTGAGTATCACTGTGTACCAAGGGGGGCAGGAAGCTATTCCGGTGGAGGGCCCAGGCTTCCTGACTGGGATGCAGCCGTGTGCAAGGTCTGTTGCTGTTCTCAAATGCTCTCAGGTAGCTGCAATAACTCATTCATTCTTGGAAGAGAGGAGTTCTAGAAATAAGAGCTGATGTAATTTTTATCTGGATTATCTGGTCTTTAAAATACAACCAGACCGAAATACAAATCAAAACCACAATGAGATACCACCTCACCCTGGTGAGAATGGCTAAAACGAACAACTCAGGAAGCAACAGATGTTGGTGAGGATGCAGAGCAAGGGGGACCCTCTTACACCGTTGGTGGGAATGCACACTCCCCAAGCTGGTGCAGCCACTCTGGAAAAACAGTATGGAGGTTCCTCAAAAAGCTAAAAATAGAATGACTCTATGACCCAGCAATTGCCCTACTAGATATTTATCCAAAGGATACAAAAACGCTGATTCGAAGGGGCACCTGCACCCCAAAGTTTATAGCAACAATGTCCACAATAACCAAACTATGGAGAGAGAGACCAGATGTCCATCGACAGATGAATGCATAAAGACGACATGGAACGAGGGGCGCCTGGGTGGCTCAGTAGGTTAAAGCCTCTGCCTTTGGTGCAGGTCATGATCTCAGGGTCCTGGGATCGAGCCCCGCATCAGGCTCTCTGCTCAGCGGGGAGCCTGCTTCCCTCTCTCTCTCTCTCTGCCTGCCTCTCTGCCTACTTGTGATCTCTGTCTGTCAAATAAATAAATAAAATCTTTAAAAAAAAAAGAAGATGTGGAATGAACACACACACACGAATATTAGCCATCAAAAAGAATGAAATCTTGCCATTTGCAACAACATGGATGGAACTAGAGGGTATTATGCTAAGTGAAATAAGTCAGTCAAGGAGAGACAAATACCTTATGATTTCACTCACATGTGGAATTTAAGAAACAAAACAGATAAACATAGGGGAAGGAAAGGAAAAATAAGATGAAAACAGAGAGGGAGACAAACCATTAGGGACTCCTAACTCTAGGAAACAAACTGAGGGTTGCTGCAGGGGAGGTGGGTCGGGGGAAGGGGAATTGGGTATTGGGCATTAAGGAGGACACTTGTAATGAGCACTGGGTGTTATATGCAATGGATGAATCACTAAATTCTACCCCTGAAACTAATAATACACTATATGCTAACTATGTTGAATTTAAATAAAATTTTTAAAAAACATAACCAGACCTTTATTAAGTACATTAGAATAAACTTTTATGGAGACTTTTAAAAAATTCCCCAGATTAGGTAATGGGTATCAAGACCTACTACTTTAAAGATCACTAGTAACAGGGACATCTGGGTGGCTCAGTTGGTTAAGCGTCTGCCTTTAGCTCAGGTTATGATCCCAGGGTGCTGGAATCAACCTCTGCATTGGGCTCCCGGCTCAGCAGGGAGTCTGCTTTCTCCTTCTGTCTCCTGTTCCCCCTACTTGTGTGCACGCTCTCTAATAAATAAATAAACAAATAAAATCTTAAAGATCAGTAGTAGTACAATATCTCTAAATCTCTGAGGTCACTACCATTTATCAAATGTCACTGTTACTATCCTTTCCACTGACAGACAAGATCACCAAGCTTGGGAAGGGCAGACCTATGATCTGAAATGAGATTCATCTGACTTCCAAGCCCAAACTTTTAAACAGCGTAACACAGTATGAGCGGATAACTGGCTAGTGGGCCTTAGTCTCCACATTTTTCTTTTTTTTTTTCCAGAATCACAGATTATTTGTTTTGTCTACTTATGTATTTGGTATTATTCTCACTTATGATGAACCTATCAATTGTGGTATAACTGATCTCTTTATCAGAACCAGCTCACTTCTTAGAGCTCTTTAGAGAACAAAAGAGATAAGGAATATGAAAATCTTTAAGTAAAAGGCAAAATCCTCTACGTTTAAAGGATGATGCTGTTTTATTATTGGGTTTCCCTTAGTACAGGGGCTCTTTTCCAATATGCAATATGGTGCTTGGTATGAAAAGATGCTCAACAAATATTTGTTATATACTGTACACGTGGATCTATGAAGACCAACTGTTAACAGGCAGTCCTAATAACAATAGGGTTTTGTTTTTCTTTTTCCTAATCACATGCCTTGGTACCGTTACCTGTGTCTGTCAGAATTTTCCTCCAAATTCCTAGCAACTGACCAGGTCACGTGGCAGGGAATCTCAAGAACAGAGCCAGATATCACTAAAATATAAATCTACATTTAGACCAAGATCAGCTTCTAGTCTAGCAGAATCAAATAATGGCTGAGAAGAGGGTTGGGCTCCCTGGAGGACAAAAGAGAAGCTTAGTTAAGCCCCTAGCAACTGAAAAAGTTAAGCCAAAGGGCGATTTGTTGGTAAGTCCAAGGATGGCTCTACCTTCAAGCCTGGCTAGTTCTACAAGCCTACAAAAGTTCAAGTCTTCAGCTCATTTGCCCTTTCTCTCTCACTCCAGGAATTGTCTCTGTTCACTCTACTTCTTCTGGAGCAGTTGCCTGACTTTCTTCTACAGATATGCTTCTTCCATGAAACAGGAAAGCCAGCCACCAACAGTCCCAAGCCAACCTCCTTACACCAGATGATCTAAAGGCAAGAAACCTGCTTTCTTCTGGGTCCGTATAGCAAATCACAGGGAAGGAGTGAATGACTTAATACAAACAGTATGGAATTGGGGTGAGTGTCCAGATCCGGGTGGTGTGCCATCCCTAGGCCCTGAGATTGACAGTTCCACCTGAATGACATGAGGAGGGACAGTTCCCAGAGGAAAGGGGGTGCAGAGCAGACAAAAACAACAGGTGTCCATGACAATAGCACTTGTTCTCAGGTTGCGTAGAGACATGACTTATCCACCAAAACAATCAGAGAAGGATAAAAACAGTAGTGCATTCACATGCCGCAGTGTTGAGTCAAAGCCTTTCAGGAAAAGGAAGTGATCTGATGGCATAAAGGAGATTCTTTGGAACAGAAGGAGAAAGACACAAATATTTTGGTCAGCCTCCCTCCTCACAGTTGAGAATTATCATCATAATCACCCTATCTCCAAATTAAGTTCAGAAACTGTGATAAATTTGCAGGCAATTAGCCAGAATGTCTCAAATTGGGACACTGGGAAAATCTGAAAGAGCTGGTCAACATAATCGTACTCCTGGTTAAGAGAACAGGCCTGATGGAAGGATTTATTTTTCTTACAAATAACTTTTTTCTGGGTCTAAATGCGATGTGTCTATTGCTGAAATTTTGGGAAATACAGAACGCAAATGAACATAAAAATCACTCTTGTGTTTGTTAGGATTGGGTGTGACTGCAAATAATGGAAACCTCAAGATAAGAAGACAGAAGTTTATTTTGCTTGCAGCTACATGAAGTTGAAAAGTCCAGGCTGGTAGGATAGTTTTGCTCCCAGAGGGCTTAGGGTGCCCAGGCTCCTTCTAGCTCACTACTCTGCCATCCCTGCAGCGTGGCCTGAATCCAGAGCAGAAAGGCAGCCAGAAAGAGAAAGGGATAAAGAGGCCAAAGGAACATGCCAGTTATCTTCCCAGGAAGTTTCTCAGAAATGGCAACACAACACTTCCGCACTATCCCAATGGTAAGAACATAGTCATGTGCCACACCTACCTGCTTGGGAGACTAAGAAATGCAGTCTTTATTTTGGGTGCCTATTTGACAAGCCAAAATTCTACTACTATAGAAGAATGGCTTATGAGGCAATTACGGGTCTCTGATAAACTGGTAATCATACTATCCAGAGAGAGTCACTGCTAACATCTTGGTGTGTCATTTATACACAAAGATATCCACACACACACAAACACACATACACACATACCCATATATATATATATATGGGTGTGGGGGGGTGGTATATGTGTGAATATGTATTTACGCACAAAGCATAAAAATAACGTATAAATATTTTCCCCCTCCCCCATATAAATATTTTTAAATGAAATTGAAATCATAGCAAATATACTATTTTTGCATCTTGCTTTTTTGAAAAATTGCACCTTAAACAGTCTCTTTTATTATCTATTTTAGCAGAGTAGTTTAACAATTAACGTAATGTAACGCAATCCATTAATTTCTTTTTTCTTTTTTTTTTAAAGATTTTATTTATTTATTTGACAGACAGAGATCACAAGTAGGCAGAGAGGCAGGCAGAGAGAGAGAGGGGGAAGCAGGCTCCCTGCCAAGCAGAGAGCCCTACATGGGGCTCAATCCCAGGACCCTGAGATCATGACCTGAGCTGAAGGCAGAGGCTTAACCCACTGAGCCACCCAGGCACCCTTTTTTTTTTTCCTTTTAAAGATTTTATTTTTAACCAATCCCTACACCCAACATAGGGCTCAAGCTCACAACCCCGAGATCATGAGTCGCACGCTCTACCAACTGAGCCAGCCAAGCGTCCCTATAATTTTCTCTTAAATAGATGCTTTTATTTTATAAAACCTGGTTTATGAAGTTTTTGTCTATTTATTTCAAAATAATTGCAGAGTCACAGGAGGTTGAAAGGAATGTATACCAAAGTCCCACGTACTCTTCCGTCCTCTACAACATTTACAACCATAGTACTGTATCAAAACCGAAACACTGACATTAATATGGTCCGTAGTTTTAGATCTCACCACTTACACATGCACTCGTGTGTGTAGCTCTACGAAATTTTATCACGTGAAGCCTTGCGTAACCATTCCTACAACATCTACAGACTCAACTGCACTAACCTTTGTGTTATTCTTTCATAGCTACTCCCATCTCGTGCCCTCCACCCAATCCTAACCCCCAGCAATACTAATCCATTCTTTTTTTTTTTTTTTTAAGATTTTATTTATTTATTCGACAGACAGAGATCACAAGTAGGCAGAGGGGCAGGCAGAGAAAGAGAAGGGGAAGCAGGCTCCCCGCTGAGCAGGGGCTCCATCCCAGGACCCTGGGACCATGACCTAAGCCGAAGGCAGAGGCTTTAACCCACTGAGCCACCCAGCGCCCCTACTAATCCATTCTTTATTTCTCTCTGTATGTTACCTCATGAATGATACATAAATGGAATTATGCAGAAAATATACGTTTGAGATTGGCTTTTCTCATGCAGGGTAAGTTCCTTGAGGGTCACTGAATTTGTTGCAGGTATCACCACACCAGTTAGTTCCTTTTTATCGCTGAGCCATATCCCAGGCTATGGGATGTGCCACAGTTTGTTTAAACGTCAACCAATGGAAGGATATTTGGGAAGTTTCCAGTTTTTGGCTATTATGAATAAAGCGGGTGTTTGGACACAAATACTCATTTCTCTGGGATGAATGGCCAGGAGTGCAATTGCTGGATTGTATTATAAATCCATTTTCAGTTTTGAAAGGAAATGCCAAACTAATTTCCAGAGTGACTGCATGCAACGTACTTTTTAAACTTAACAATATGTTGTCAAAAATTCTTATCATTATTTCCTATGTTCTTAAATATTCTTCTAAAACATGGATGGCAGTACATGATTTCCAAACCAATTTCCTAATTTCGAATACTTAGGAATATTTCTGATTTTTATGTTCTAAATAATAAAGTGAAAAATGTGATTGTGAATAAATCTTTGTGCCTATTTCTGATTATTTCCTTAGGATAAATTTCTAGACTTACACATACTGGTTTAAAGAGTATGAATAAACATTTTAAAGTCCTTTATAAGAAAGATTTTATTTATTTATTTATTTGACAGAATGAGAGAGAGCACAAGCAGGCAGAGTGGCAGGCAGAGGGAGAGAGAGAAGCAGACTCCCCAACAAGCAAGGAGCCTGATGTGGGACTCGATCCCAGAACTCCAGGATTACAACCTGAGCCAAAGGCAGTGACTTAACCAACTAAGCCACCGAGGTGCCCCATTTTAAAGTCTTTTGCTACATTTAAAAAAAATTGGCCTACTGAGGGGCACCTGGGTGGCTCAGTGGGTTAAAGCCTGTGCCTTCGGCTCAGGTCATGATCCCAGGGTCCTCGGATCGAGCCCCACATCGGGCTCTCTGCTCAGCAAGGAGCCTGCTTCCCCCCTCTCTCTGCCTGCCTCTCTGCCTACTTGTGCTCTGTCAAATAAATAAATAAAATCTTTAAAAAAAAAATCGTCCTACTGAAAGGTGTTTCAATTTAAAATCCCACAGCAATATATGAGAATTGGGCAAAGTTTCTAAAACTAATACTGCAACACAAATTGCAAATGATTGGTATCTTTAATATATATATATAGATCTTATGTATCAACCAGAAGATTAAATACCCAATATCAAGATGCTTTGGGCTCCAGAAAGTGACAGAAAACTCAAAATTCAAAATTTTATCAATAGAGAAATGTACCACTTTATATAATAAGAAGTCCAAAAGTAGGGCAACTTCTGTATTTGTTGATTTTACACAACTTCAATAAAAAGCACCACAGTACACAGACCAACAGTGCAGACGCTGAAGTTACATTGTTAGATTAGTATCCCAACTCTTCCACTTACTGACTGTGTATCATTAAGCAAATCACTTATCCTATTTATGCCTCAGGTTCCCATTTTGAAAACAATTATAATAGTAGTATCTATTTCATAAGATTGCTATAAGAATGAAAAGAGTTTATATACATAAAATATCCATTAAGTGTTGATATCACCAAGAGCCTAGATTCTATTTTTCTGTTCTGCCATCTTTGGCATGTTAACTTTATCCTCAATCTTGAGACATCGTGGTCACAAGATAGCTGCAGTAACTCTAGGCATCATATCTCAGACAATCAGAGATAGAAGAAACAAAGTAATTTTCTCTGTTACTTAAGAACAAAGAAACTTTTCCAAATAGATCTCCCTCTTATCCTGCTGGCTAGAAAATGGGCTATCCAACACCAACCTGTTAAAAAAAATTTTTTTAAAGGAGAATGGAATTGCCATGATTGGCTTAGACCAATCAGGATTTACTCATAAGCTAAAACCACTTTCCCTGTGGGTAGATACCAAACAAAATCAGTTCTTTTAACAAGGAAGAAGAAAGAAATGGGTATAAGGTGGACAATCAGAATGTCTGTCATGTATCATGTTAGAAAAAAATGGGCAAACCACGTGCACCAGCAATTCATAAGAGAAGAAATGAAAAGGCAAATAAACATGAAAAAGAAATGTTCACCTTGATTAATGAGCAAAGAAATGCAAATTAAAAGGAGTTTCTGTACTTTCTCTATTTGGCAAGGATGAAAAAGAATGATAATCATTTACAATGGTAATAAATATACAAAGCGCCTAGGAATAAATCTTACACAAGATGTGCCAAACCTACATGGAGAAAACTATGAAATTTTATCAAACAAACTTAAAAAAGACCTAAATAAATGGAGATATATATCAAGTCCATGGATAGGAAGACTCAGTATCCTTAAGATGTCAATTCTCTTCAAGTTAATTTAGAGATTTAGAGTAATTCCAAGCAAAATCTTTAGGTTTTTGTTTTCTGGGTTTTTTGAGGAATAGACAAATTATTTCTAAAATATATATATGAAAGAGCAAAGGCCCAAATCTAGTTAATACCCTCTTAAAGAAAGAAATATGGCAAGGGAATTTTTCTTACCAGGTAGCAAGACTTTTTATAAAATAAGACAAAAGTAAAACAGATAATGTGATATTGGGTAAGGGATAGGCAAATTTAGCAATGGAACAAAGTAGTCCCCAAACAGACTCACACATTATAGACACTTGACATATTACAGTGGTAGCATTAAAAATCAATGGAGGGTGCCTGGGTGGCTCAGTCAGTTAAGTGTCTGCCTTCAACTCAGGTCATGATCCCAGGATCCTGGGATTTAGTCCCACATCAGGCTTCCCACTCAGCAGGGAGTCTCCTCCTCCCTCTCCCAGTTGGTGCTCTCTCTCTGGCTCACTCTCTCAAATAAATAAATAAAATCCTTTAAAAAAAAAATCAATGGAAAAAGAAAAGAAAACTGGATTCCCACCTTTCACTCTACCCAGAAAATAACACAAAATTACTTATAAATTTGAGTTTTTAAATTATTTAGAAGAAAATGATAAGGAGTTAATCTTTAAGCCTTTCTATTAGGGAAGTGTTTTTTAAATAAAACATGAAAAGCATTAACTATACATGACAAGGTTGAGATGTCAAAAATGTCAAAGACATCTCAAAGTGAGTAAAATGACAAGCCATGAACTGAGAGAAGATATTTATAGGACAAATAACTGAAAAAGTTTAGAGTTCAGAATATATAAGAAATTCCTACAAGTCTATTTTTTTTTCAAAGATTTTATTTATTTATTTGAGAGAGAGAGAGAGATCACAAGTAGGCAGAGAGGCAGGCAGAGAGAGAGAGGAGGAAGCAGGCTCCCCGAAGAGCAGAGAGCCCGATAAGGGACTTGATCCCAGGACCCTGGGACCATGACCTGAGCCAAAGGCAGAGGCTTTAACCCACTGAGCCACCCAGGCGCCCCCTACAAGTCTATTTTAAAAATAATTTTTTAAAAAGTAGGCAAGACACACACACAGGTATTTCACAAACAAGAAAAAAAAAACACATGGCCAATAAACATATGAAAAAATTAACAGCCTCATCAGTAATCAGGAAAACAAATTAAGATCATAATGATACAACCTTTTATATCTATCTGATTCCCCCCCAAATAAAATAACTGATAATACCAAGTGTTGGTAATGAGGTAGATCAGTTGGAACTCTAAGTCCTACTGGAGAGCATTAATTAATTTCACCACTTTGGAAGACAAGCACTATTTGTAAAGCTGAATATTCATATAGATAATGTCCTAGCTGTTCCACCTGTAGGTATGCCAAAATATACATAAGAATATTTACAGTTTATATTCTCCTAACCCCCCAAAAGACTGGAAACAACCCAACTATCTGTTGAAGGAAAATGAATACATAAATTGTGGTATGGTCACATGATGGAATATTATGCAGCAGTGCTAGTGAGAGGACCACAGATAGATGTAGCAACATGGATGAATTTTAGGAATGTCATATCAAGTGAAAAAAGCAAGTTATAGGAAATTACATTATAATGCCATTTGCAAAAAAAACCCTTAAAACCAAGCAGAACAAAACACTATGTTTAGGGATTATAAATATATAATACATTTTTTTATAAAACAAAGCAAAATCAATCAAAATTCAGTGGTTATCCTTGGGTATTCGAGAAGACAAGGAAATGGGTTGGACAAACACACACATCAATGAGATGGTTTTGGAAGTATTTCAAGGTTTTTTTGCATATGTCATATATTTTTTTACATTGTGGTAAAATACAAAGAACATAAAATTTACTATTTTAACCCGTAAGTGTGCAGTTCAGTGGCATTAACATACATCCATCATCCCCCATCCATCTCTAGAACTGTTTTTATCTTGTAAAACCAAAATTCTGTACCCATTAAATAACTTATGCCTCCCTCCAGCCCCTGAAAACCACCATTCTACTTTTCATGTCTATGTATTTGAGAATCTTGGTTTTTAAGTTGGGATGGGTTCATGTATGTTCATTTTGTTGTTATGTTTCATAACTTATATATATATATATATATATATTATATACATACAAACATGCATTCTTTTGTATGTATAAAATAGTACATACCTTATTTTGTAATGGCTTGATGCCTGGAAAAGTAAAGAACAATATCCAAAATTGGCCAGAACACGGTAAGTGCTAGCAAGCATGTAAATTGGTACATTTTTTAGGACAACTTAAACTTAATACAAACAAAATTGACAAATATATTATTACAAGTTTTGGCAAGAATGGTGTTTTCAATTTGGGTTTCCAATTATTCATTGCTAGTATACAGAAATAAGATTGATTTTTGTGTGTTGACCTTATATCCTTGCTATATTCACTTATTAGTTCTAGGAGTTTTTTTTGTCATTGTTGTTCATTCTTCAGATTTTCTGTGTGGACAATGTCTTCTGTGAATAGGGAGTTTTCTTTTTTTCTAGTCTGTATGTTTTAAAAATTTTTTTTCTTATCTTACTGCATTGGCTAGGACTTTGAGTATAATGTTAAATGGGAGTGGTGAGAGTAGACATCCTTGTCTTGTTCCTGTTCTTAGAAGGCAGTCTTTCACTATAAAGTATTATGTTAAGTGCAGGCTCTTGTATACTAAGTTAAAGAAGTTCCTTTCTGTTGCTAGTTCTCTGAGAGTTTTTTTTTTTTTTAATTCAATGGCTGTTGAATTTTGTCAAATGCTTCTTGCATCAATTGATATGATCATGTGGTTTTACTTTTTATATTATTACTACCGCTTGTTAAATTGATTAATTTTCGAATATTAAAAGAGCTTTGCATTCCAGGTTTGAACTCTATTTGATAATGATGTCTTAATCTTTTTTATATTTTGCTTGATTTGATTTGCTAATTTATTACAGATTTTGCATCTGTGTTTGTGAGGGATAATAGTCTGTAGTTTTCTTGTACTAGCTTTATCTCTGATTTTGGTATTGATGTATCTTTTTGGAGGTCAATTTGTCAATTGTAACAAATGTCTTAAAAATGTGTGTGTCCTGGGGTGCCTGGGTGGCTCAGTGGGTTAAGCCTCTGCCTTCAGCTCAGGACATGATCTTAGAGTTCGGGGATCCAGCCCCACACATTGGGCTCTCTGCTCAGTGGGGAGACTGCTTTCCCCTCTCTCTCTGCCTGCCTCTCTGCCCACTTGTGATCTCTGTCAAATAAATAAATAAAATCTTTAAAAAAAAAAAGTGTGTGTCCAAAGAGTCTAAGAACTTAAAGAAACAGGGATTCTCCTTATAAACAGACTTTGGATTCAGACAGATGGAGCTTTAAATACCAACGCATCCCCTTACCAACTGCTTAAATTTTGTGCCTGTTTTCTAACCTGTAAAATGAGGATAAGAGGACCCACCTCATAAATTGCAAGAGATGAGATAATTCACACACAGTGCTCAAGACCTAGTGAACTTTAAGTCAGCAGTAGCTCGTCTTTGCTCCCCTGTGAGCTCCCCCTGTGAATCTCCTTACTGGGGAGTATTCGGTCTCCTCATCCCTGATTCCTGTCTTACATTAGGTGTGCGAGGCGTTGGGATTGCAAAGGCAAAAAAGGTACGGACCCCGCCCTCGGGGAGCCGAAGCTATTAAAACACACAGGTGCAAACGAACCAGTTCCATGCAGTATAAGAGCATTATAATGGCGCGTCTGCCCAAGGTGCAGCGGCTTGGACCCGCACTCTGAGCGTCTGTCAGGAGTGCGGGTGTTCGCTTGGGGACCAGACCCAGGGAGGCAACTTGTGCAGCGCAGCCTCGGGTCTTGGGGGGTGGCGGGGGGGGCCCGAGACTAGCTGTTTCCATAGCAACGAGACTAGCCACCCGCATGGTCCCTCACCGCTCACCTCTGCTCAGCGTCTGAAGAGCCACGAAAGGCCACTTCCGGTCCTCCAGCCTCGGTGACTCGCGGTCACTCTGCGGTAACTCAGTAACTCGAACTCCTAGCTTCTGATTGGCTCGGCAGATGGAGGGGGCGGGACGTGACGCCAAGGGGCGTGGCCTGCGGACCCTCAGACTGGCGTTTTCCTCGCCGAGCGGAAAGCGACTTCATCTGCCCCGGAAGTGCAAGGGACGGGGTCGTACAGGTGTGGATTCCGCCGGCGAGGCGGCTCTTTTCAAGATGCCGGGAGCCGCGGTTAGGGGCTCTGAGTTGTACGAGAGCATCGAGAGCTTCGTGGAGGCCCTGAAGCGGGACGGCGGGCGGCGCAGCTCCGAGGACATGGCTCGGGAGACCCTGGGGCTGCTGCGCCGGATCATCACGGACCACCGCTGGAGCAACGCAGGTAAGGCAGGTCTAGTTCTGTCGCGGGCCTCGCCACTATCTGACCCCGGTCCTCAGGCGGAAAGCCGCCCGGGCCTCATCGCGCTGGTGCCCTCTCTCTGTCTCCCTCGGTCTGCAGGGGAGCTGATGGAACTGATCCGCAGAGAAGGCCAGAGGATGACGGCTGCGCAGCCCTCAGAGACCACGGTGGGCAACATGGTGCGAAGAGTGCTCAGGATCATCCGGGAGGAGTATGGCAGGTCAGGATGTGGGCCTTTCTGCACAAGCCCCTCTTCCTGCTGAGCAGCTCCTGTTACTTAAATGACTGCACCTCCGCCCACCTCCCTGTTTGGCTCTTGTTGCCTCCCTAGACTCCATGGACGCAGCGATGAGAGCGATCAGCAGGAGTCCTTGCACAAACTCTTGACATCCGAAGGCCTGAGCGAGGATTTCAGCTCCCCTTATGCCCAACTCCAGTCCAACATCATTGAGGCAATTAATGAGCTTCTTGTGGAACTCGGTAAGAGTCCTGATCCCTGATGGACAGGACAGGTTACAGGCAGACGAGGGAAGAGAAGACCTGGAAAGTTGTTCATCAGCAGAGAGAGGAGATAACCAGTCTGTGGTTCTCCCGGTTTTGTCTTCCATCCTGATTAAGAGAAAGGGTTGGAACAGGTGGCAGGGCTAAGATAGCCCTCTCTGCCTTTCCTTACAGACCAGCCGGTTGTAGACTGCAGGTCCACTGCTGCCAGGACTGTTAGGACAGAGCTTTATTTTCATTTTAAAGATGAACTCCGTAAAACCACAGATGATAGACTCTTCTTCCCTGAATTTCCTCCTGAATTTTTATACACACAGATGCACCACTGCCATTCCCATTGTCATTATGACCCAGGAGACCTGCGTAGATTCATTGCAGTCAGAGTTCCCCAAGGGAGGAAGAAGCTGGGTCTATGTGTCTGGCCCTGCTACTTCCAAATTCCTCCCCTGTTTTTCTTCTGTAGCCTCCTTTTCAGGTGGGCATGTTGCGGCTACCTTTTGGAGGAGTTCTTTTAGGGGAAAACTGTTTACCCCACTCTCAGCACTTTACAGTTTCCCAAATTGGACCACTTTTTACCTGAATTTATTGTGTTCAAAATGGATTTTAAGGGGCTGGTGTCATTGGGGAAGGGTTGACTGAGAACTTGGGAAGTAGAAGATGGCACAGGAGCAGGACTTGTAAGAAAAGGTAACCTTCACATTAAGTCCCTTCACTCTGTGTTACCCATGTCTGCTACATGGGCCGTCTGTGAGAAGGGCACCTGTCTCTTTCCATGTTTTATCACGTTTGTCTTGTGTTGTGGCACGGCAGTTTCACATTTCCCTTGCCAAACCGACTGTTCTTGCAGAAGGGACTACAGAGAATATTGCTGCCCAGGCTCTGGAGCACATCCACTCCAATGAGGTGATCATGACCATTGGCTTCTCCCGGACAGTAGAAGCCTTCCTCAAAGAGGCTGCCCGGAAGAGGAAATTCCATGTCATTGTGGCAGAATGTGCTCCTTTCTGTCAGGTAGGGGGACTGCTGGAGCTGCTAAGAAAAATGAAAAAGGAGGAGGGACTAAAGAAGTGATAGACGGGCTTCCATGCCACCTTTGAATTGATAAGTAAGACATTGAGAAGACAAAGGAAAGCACGAAGGGAATTTTCAAGTTGCTCATCCTTGTCAGCATTCTTAAACGTTGGCTTAGGAAGGTTAGGGGAAATGGCTGGGTCGAAGAAAAGAAACGCATTGGTTCTCTTAGGAATCAATAGAGTAAATTATCTTGGGGATGACTGATGCTTGCGCTGACCTCACTCAGTCTCTACATAAATAATAGGTCTCTAGAAAGGAAATAAGTAAGGATGCAGGAGGTCATAAAATAATGAGCCAGGAGCTATCCTGCCAGTGCTCCCTAATTACCCAAACTAAGCGGTATTTCCAGTTTTGTGGCTGCCCTAGTGCTCCTGTGGAAAATTCAACATTTATTGGCTTCTCCTGGGCTTCTCTGCAGCATGCCAGAGAATACCTACCATGAGGAGAAAAAGAAATTAACTGTTGGCAGTTGTGTGTTGGCTGTGCCCAGTATCACAGAATTCTCCAGATCCAGTTCCACTGGAGGTGCCTTCCACTCTCTTACCTTCTCTCTAACGTCAGGCCTTTCTCTCCTATTGCAGGGTCATGAAATGGCAGTCAATTTGTCCAAAGCAGGTATTGAGACAACTGTCATGACTGATGCTGCCATTTTTGCTGTTATGTCAAGAGTCAACAAGGTGGGTGTATTTGGAGTTATGTTGAATTCATGAAGATTATACTTAAAATACTGATTTTTTTTTCTCCTTCCTATAATATCCATGAGAAGAGAAGAAAGCTTCTAGTGCCTTTTGAAAGTACATACTTGGGCCTTTTTAATATATTAACTGGATTTCTTTTCCCTTTATCTGTATCATTGTCCCTCACTTACAATAGCTTCTTTTTGTTTTTGTTTTAAAGGCTTTATTTTGGGGGCACCTGGGTGGCTCAGTCATTCAGTGTCTGCCTTGGGCTCAGGTCATGATTCCAGGGTCCTGGGATCAAGCCCCACATCGGGCTCCCTGCTCCGCAGGAAGCCTGCTTCTCCTTCTCGCACTTCCCCTGCTTGTGTTCCCTCTCTCTTGGTCTGTCTCTCCCTCCCTCTCTCTCTGTCAAATAAATAAATAAATACATAAAATCTTTAAAAAAAAATTTATGTTTTAAAGCAATCTCTACACCCAACATGGGGCTTGGACTCACATCCCTGAGATCAAGAGTTGTGTGCTCTACTGACTGAGCCAGCCAGCTGTCCCAAGAAGTTTCGTTTTGGTGAAAGCATTGAAGAGAATGAAATAGGTCTAAGCTAAGTGTGGCAGCTGCTAGGCATTGGGTAGAGGGTTCCTGCCTTCTGCTGAGAGAGCTTGACAGTAGTGGATGGTGACTAGTAAGGCTCTTAGTTTCTCAGGAGGTATGGCATATGGATTCCAGAAAAGGCAGGGCTAAGAGCAAAAGACAGTGTACCTACCTATCACATACAGTATTCACACATACAATATTCATTCTTTCTTTGGGAAGCCACTCTTTTTTGTTTGTTTGTTTAAAGATTTTATTTATTTATTTGACAGAGATCCCAAGCAGGCAGAGAGGCAGGCGGGGTGGGGGGTGTGGAGCAGGCTCCCTGCTGAGCAGAAAGCCAGATGCGGGGCTCGATCCCAGGACCCCAGGATTATAACCTGAGCTGAAGGCAGAGGCTTAATGCACTGAGTCACCCAGGTGCCCTGGGAAGCCACTCTTGAGCTAGAACACGTGGTCCTTACCATAGAATCCCTTTTCCTTGACTAGTGTGTGACCCTCACGATGTCAAGACTGAGGCCTGGGCATTTAGCCTCTGGTGCCCAGTGGTCCACTTAAGGCTGTATCCCTAAGATGACTCACATTTTGCTTCCTGTTCCAAAGGTGATCATTGGCACAAAGACAATCCTGGCCAACGGTGCCCTGAGAGCTGTGACAGGAACTCACACTCTAGCACTGGCAGCAAAACACCATTCCACCCCGCTCATCGTTTGTGCTCCTATGTTCAAGCTTTCCCCACAGGTATGTCTGTCTGTAGCCAACAGAGAGAAGGAAGCCAAAGGCTAGGCTTGAACTCTGGGCCTTCAACCTACTCACTCTGGGGCTTCTCTTTAGCTGCCTTTGCTCAATGGATTAGACTCCTTTGAGGCTGGAAAAAGCCACAGAAGTCTTGAACGAGAAAAAAATATTGAGAGTTATAACTTGTCAACTTTGAGAAATCAAAATTGTAAGGTCGGATGGGACATTGTTAGGGAAGGCCCTCTGTTGACATTGCCACCATCGCCTATCACGCTGATCATTTCTGAAAATGCCAAACAAGTTGAAACTTGGAACACAGAATCGGTTTTGTCATCGTTGGAGGGACTGTCCTCTGTAGCCTGAATATAAGCAGTATTACCAAGTGATAGAGCCATTTCATTAGTGATAGAAGCTGTTAGCTCTGAAATACCAATATATTTGTAGGTCTCTTTTTTAAAAATTGAGGTGAAATTCACATAACATACAATTAACTATTTTTAAATGTACAGTTCAGGGTTATTTACTACATTCACAGCACTGTGCAACTACCACTGTCTGGTTTAAAACGTCATCATCTCAGAAAAACACCCCGTACCCATTACGTACATCATTTCAGAAAAACACCCCGTACCCAGTGATTCCTCTTAGGAATCACTGATCTGCTTTCTGACTCTGGCTTTGCCTGTTTGGGATATTTCATATAAAAGAAGTCATAGAACATGTGCCTTTTGTTTCTGACTTCTTTCACTTAGCATGATGTTTTCAAGGTTCCTAGCTATAGCACAGCACTTTCTGTGGCTGAATAATACTCTGCTGGGGGCCATACCGGTTTGTTTATCCATTCACCTGTTGGTGGGCAGTTGGGTTGTCCAACCTTTTGGCTTTTGTGAATAATGCTGCTGTAAGCATTGGTGTACAAGTCTCTGTGTGGACATACCTTTTTTAATTTCCCTTGGGTATACACTTAAAAGTGGAATTTGCTGGATCTCTCTTGCTCTTTTTTTTTTAAATTTTTTTCTTGTCTAGTTCCCTAATGAAGAAGATTCCTTT